TAAATTATATAAATTAATTAAATTTTTTAAAAATAAGTTTTGAATAAAAATAATAAATTCATATTAAAAATATTCAAGGATAATTCTTTTGAATTTCATTCTATTTATAAAAAATTTTATAAAATTCTGTTTTAAAGAAGAAGTTGAATTATTTAATATAAAAATTAATTAAATAAAAAAATTTAAATCACTAAAATATTTTGAATTTAAAATTTTTTATTTTCTCTTTATTATTGTGAAATATGATCTGTTTAAAAATATTTGTAAAAATAAAAAAAGCAAAGTGAAATAATTAAAGAAAGAAATTTTATATAATTTTTAATTATTTATAAATTACAGTGAAATTATTAAGAGCTCAGTATTATTAACTAAAAAGTTTGTTTAAAATAACTTTTTTTTATATTCTGTTTATTAATCTTCGGTATTTATGTATTGAGTGTTATTTTGAATTCTATGATATTTTTGTATAATTTCTGACAATAATTCTTCGAACCTTATATATAACTAAAATAACTGCTATAAGGCAAAAATGTTGTCATTTAAAAAATCTTTTATTATTTTTGTTATCTAAGGATAGATAATTGGTATGAAGACATATTAATATATTTTCTGTATATTTTATAAAATACTTTTTTAATAAGAAACTGTCCTGATCACACGGGACAGTTTTGTTCATTAAATTATTAAGGTAAAATGATTTTATAGTTTCAGGGTTAAAAGTTGTCTTAAAGGAGTATTTATTAATTTTTGTTTCTCTTCTTCCGTCCATGATAAATTCTTAGGGTAAGAATTAAATTTAAATAAAAAATTAATTAAATTTAATTTAGGTTTTAAAACTCCTTTTTGTAAGATATTACAGAAACATATGTTATAATATGTTTCTACGTAGATAGATACAGTTCAAAATAATANGAACCTTTCACACTCTAAAATTTACCAATGAACTTATTGATTACTCGACGCTACTTTGTCTTGTACGTTTTAATTTGTAAAATTAATTATAAATTATAAAAAATCTGACAATTTCGAAAATTATTTTTTTGGTATTTTAACCAAAATTTTCCAAAATTAATAGTAAATAAATTAAAAACTAAATTTAGTAACCTCTTTAAATAATTACTAAATAAACATACATTTAGAATATTTTGTCTATCTATTTAAAGTATATTTATTTAGTAATAAAATATTCATTAATTAGATCATTAATCTAATATTATTTATTAATTTATTTTTTAGAATTTTAAAAAAATATTTAAATTAATTTATTATTCATAAATTAAAAAAAAAGAAGAATTCCCTAAAATGTCTGATGACTTATTTCTACAACAAATAAAAATAAGAGAGTCTTCAAAATTTATAGAACAACTGCTGAGCAGAATAGACAGAAATGAAAGTGGTTTAAAAGATCTTTTAAAAGAAGAAATAGAAAACTTAAAAGTATTACACATAGAATATAAAAAGTGTTTGGAAGAAAAAAAGGTAATTTACGAAGACAGACAACCATGTAAAACAAGATACTTTTTAAAAGATGGTAGTACGTACGTAGTAGATCTAAAAGGAAATTACAAATATTTGTATGATAATAAAAATAGAAGCATTACTTATCATTTTAACAATGGTCAAATAGAAAAGACATTTTCTAATGGCATAAAAGAAATAAGGTACCCTGACGGGAGTGTTTGCATAAAATTTGGTGAAAAGGACTATGATTTATATAAATAAAATTTTAATAAAATGTTCTGTAAAATGAAGTATTTTCTTTCTCTATTTCTTGTATTTTTCCTTCTGCTACCATTACATCTAATAAACTTTTAACATCCTCTTCATTTAAAAAGATATTTGTTACTTTTGACTCTGTAATAAATTCTTTTATTTCTTTTATGGTGGGCAACAATCTTATTCTAACTAATTCTCCTTTTGTTTTATTATTTATAAATAAATAAATTACTTTCATTAATTCATTTACAAATTGTTCATCTATTTCTCCTTCGGTAAACCATTTTCCTCCTGTTATTTCTTCAGAAGGCATTTTTTCAAAAGAAATAAATAATTTTTGATTATTTTTATAGNGNTTTNTNNNATTCNTNCAATNNGTTCTATGCTGTAAATTTTTTATGCATTTATTTACCATGGCTTGTGGTAAATTACTTTTATTCTTCAGTTCGTTCAATGTGATTCCTGCTGTGTCTGACTGTGTTATTAATTTATTTATCAGATCTTCTGATTCTTCTTGTGATAATTGAACTAATCTATATTTTATTGTGCCTCTATTGCTGTATTTCTCTATCTTTCCATCTGATTCCATTTTACAAAGTGATTTGATTATTTCTTCGTTGGTATAATTTTCTAACTTTGTCAGTAATTCATGCTCTGTAATTCCATACTTATTTTTTTCAATGACTGATTTAATTTCTTCTTCCATAAAAAAATATTATTTTTTAAAAATGTATTTAATTTATTTAGTATTTTATAAATAAAATATTTTTATAGCATCTAAAATGATATAAAATAAAAAAAAATATTTTTATTTATTTTGGTATACAATTCTTAAATTTTAATTAGTTATATTTAAGTATTTTACTTAAATTATAATTTGTTTTTTTTAATTTATTTTTTATATCTCTTTACTTAAAAAATTATTAATTTATTTATTTTTTTAATATTTAATTTATTTATTTTTTTAATATTTAATTTATTTTTCATTATTTATTTTCTTTTTTAAAATACTGTTAATTATTCTCAACTCATTAACCTCTTCCCTTTTATTTTCTAAATTTAAATCAGAAACCCTTTCTTTTATTTTGTTGATTAAATTTCTAATATTTTTATCATCAAAATTTACAGGCAATTTCTTTTCTTCTCTTTTTATTTTTTCTAATAAAATTTTCTGTTTGTTTATTACTTTTACTGTTAAAACATCAACTTCTTTTGCTTTATCTTTAAAAATTTGTTCTAATTGAAATAAAATTTTAATTTTTTCATTAAAAGTTTCTGTTAAAGATTGTAATTCAAAATAAATTTTTTGGTATTCACAAAATAATTCATTATTAATTTGTAATAACAATTTTTTAATATCAGAATCATTCTTTAATTCAGGAAAAATATAATTTTTTAGTGGTAAAAGAAGTTGTTCTGTCCTTTTTTTATAAGGTTTTACAAAAATATCATCCATAATAAAATTATTGATGATTTCTGAGTGACTTTCTTCTAAAAAATAAATTTTATTTTTTGTAAGAAAGAAATTTTTATAAAAATTAAGTATTTTACAATCTAATAATTTGATTGGTCCATCAGTAAAATCATGCAACCCTTCTTTTACATTAAAAATTCTTTCTTTGTAAGAAACTAAATTTACTGGATTGTTAATAAACTGATAATCTAAAAAATAAACATCTTCTTTCTTTTTGTATAAAAATAATTTATGAGAAGAATAAAGAACTAATTTTTCTTTAGTAATAACCAATTGATGAAAAAAAGAAGTATCTAAATTAGGTAATAAAATCAATTTCTCTTTACAAACAACACTTTTAGTCATAAAAAATGGTTTACATTTGTAAACATTTCCTTTTTTGCTTAAAAAATAAGGCTGTTCATAAAAAAATAAATCAATTATTTCTTCTTTACAAAATAACTCAACATTTTCTAAATTTCTTTTTTTAATTTGAATTTTATTATTCAAAAATAAAAAAATTAAATATTCTTCCTCTAAAATTACTTTTAAAGGAACATTTAACAAATTAACAGATTCAACCAAAACAAATGAATCATAATTTAAATGTAAAATGTTTAATTTGTTTCCTTCTATGCTTATTAAATTATTTTTATAGGATAATAAATGAGTAATCTCATTTTTTATATTGTAGTTTAATTTTATAGGATTGTTTATGTCTGCTAATTTTCTCATATAGAATGTGTTGTCTTTTATGTAAATTAGTCTTTGGTTGTGTAAACAACTCATTTCTAATTGTTCTGTTATGTTTGTAGGAAAGTATTTTAATTTCATGCAGGATTTAATTTTTATTTTTTATTTTTATTTAATTTTTAATTTTTAAACTTTTTAATTTTTGAATATTTTGTTATTTTTACTTTTTAACATAAAACTTTCTGATATTTAAACATTTTAAAATTCTATTTTTTACAATATTTCAACATTTAAACACTTTAATTTTTAAACATTTTAATATTTTATTTTTTACAATATTTTAATATTTAAAACTAAAACAATAAATAAAATTTTATTTATAAAATATTTAACGACAAATAAAAANANNANAAANNNATGGAAAAAGAAATAGAGGCAGAGGCAAAGAAACTTTACGATTATTACAACAAGTTAAGCTTGGAATACAAGAAAATAACAAAAAAGAAGGATGAAACAAACAACAAAGAGCCCATTTCTGCAGAGTTAGCCTTAGTCCTGGATAAAATTAATAAGTTTAGAAATGAATATTCTTTATTCATAAAAGAAAGAAAGAATTCCTTTGGTAAATTTGACATAAACAAATATTTGGAAATAAAATTAATTGAAATAAAAGCTAAAAAAGAAAAACAAGGAACAAAAGACAATTTTTTATTTATTAATAATAAACAATTTAACACTTATGAATTTACTGATGAAAATAAATTGTTTGAGAAACAAGAAGAAAATATTTCTGAGATAGAAGAGAAGAATGAGGTTGTAGTATATTATAGTGATACACATATGGTAAATTTATTAAAGAAACAAAAAGAATTTTTAAAGAAGGCAAGAGATAAGAAAATTGGGTTGGATGTTTTAACACCAGGAAAAAGAGCAAAAGTATTAAAAAGTTGTGATAATTTTTTGAATGATATTATTTATAAATTAGTTTGCATGGCTAACACACGAGAAAAAAAGGTTTTAAAGAAAAATGATTTATATTTTTTATTAAAATTACATGATATCAATATAGAAAAGGAAGAGGAAAAAAGAAAAAGAACATTTTTATAAAATAAATTAAATTTTTAAATTTTTTAAAAAATGCTTCCGCCCGGGATCGAACCGGGGACCTCAACCGTGTGAAGGTTGCGTGATAACCACTACACTACAAAAGCTCAATTGTGTTGATATTATTTTTAAAGTATTTAAATTTAATTTATGTGTTGTGAAATATTTTTTATTTATGTCTCTTTTATTTTTTCTCTTCTTCTTTATCCATTTTATCAAAAGAATTCTGAGAAATAATTTCATCTAAAATCTTTTCAAATGACTTTTTGTAATATTTAAATATATCCAGTCTATTTGACTTATTCTTTCTTATTTTATAATCAGGAGATGTAACATTCTTTGCTAAAAAACCATTGGGTCCTCTTATCAGGTCAAATTCTAATATTTCATTGGGCAATAAATATAAATCCATATCCTCCTGTTTAGCAATCGAAGTGAAATGAAAAAATATATCTTCTTTGATTAAAGGGTCATCGCAAATAATAAATCCAAATCCTCTTTTGTATGAATAAAATTTTACACATCCTCTGTATCTTTTACTATTCTGCATTTTAGGATACCTTATTTATTGAAGATAAAACTTGAAATAAATAAGAAAATTAAACATTTTGACATCAAAGAACCAATTAGGAATTTAAAACACAAAGAAGAATCTTAGAAGTAAATTAAAAATAATTAAATTTTTTTAATTTATTTTTTGATTTATTTGTTTTAAATTTTTACAATAAAACATATTTCAAATTTTATACAAATTTTCAAGAAGGGTCTCTAAGTTTTGATCGTGATTCTTTATTTCTTTGTCTATTTCATCAGAAACACGCGCTATTGCATCCAAATTGTTAAGAATTTCTTGAATTAAAGTCTCTTCTGTCTCTTTCACTTCTAATTTGATTTTTTCTAATTCTTCTGGCTTATTCATTTGAGGATAAATAAAAATTTTTTATATTCTCCTTAAATTTAATTTGTTCATTTTTATTTAAAATAATTTATTTTTTGAATTGATGCATGAAAAAAAGCTAAAAAATCTTATAAAACATGGAAAATTAAAAAAGGGAAAATACTTAAATTATGTCTTTGAAGATAAAACAAATATGTTACACTGGGCAGCATTTTACAATAAAATTGGATTATTAAAAAAAATAATAAAAAAACATAAAATAAATAGAAAAGGAGGTAAATTTAAAAGTACACCTTTGTTCTTTGCTGCTTATAACAGTAATTATAAGTGTATGTTATATTTAATAAAAAATGGAGCAAATTTAAAAAGTACTAATGCTTTAGGATACAATTTATTACACCTTACAGCAAAATTAGATGATATTTTAGGTTACTTGTTTCTAAAAAAATATGGTGTACCTGAAAACCAAAAAAATTTAGAAGGATTATTGCCTATACACGTTGCACAAAAAAATAACTCAGAAAATGTGCTAACATATTTGAATCATGGCAGAAAAGAAGATAATTTAACAAAAATCATTTCTTTTCTTTTTTCAACAAAATTTTTTGCATTTTCATATTGTATTTCTATATTTTATGCAAATGTCAATTTTATATATTTTTTCAGTTTATGCATTTTAAAAAACATAAAAAACAGAAACTTTTTAAAATTTAATTTAAATTTTCTTTTAAGTTTATGCATAATTTTAGCATTTAAAAATGATTTTTATTTGTTTTACAAAAGCTTTGTTCTGTTTAATTATTTTAATTCAGTCTCATTTAAACAAATAAGAAAAAATAAAAAAATAGAATTTGAAAAATTAATTTTACAAAATAAATTCAATTTGCATGAATTTTGTGTTTACTGTTTAGATAAAAAAAAGAGACACTGTAAATTTTGTAAAAGTTGTTTTGATTTTGAAGGATACCATTGTTTCTTTTTAGGTAAGTGTGTGAGTTTTTTAGAGTTACCCAAAATACTTTTGTGTTTTTCATTATTTATCTCTATTTTCTTCTCAATAGAAAATTCTAATGCCTTATTTCTCAGTGTAAGTTTGTCAGTCAGATTTTATTTATTTTTTATTATTTTAATTTTGAAGACATTTTTCAAAATTTAATTAAAAATTTTAATTTTTAAGAATGCAAAAAGAGGAACTGCATAAAATTTATGAAAGGATGTTAAAGGAAAGAGAAGAAAGAAAAAGAATCTTAAACAATGATTTCGCACCAAAATGCNTTGATTTTTGCCCAGAACTTGAGAAAATAGAAAGAGTTTTGAGGAATGATATCTCAGTTTTTGAGAATGAGTTTATGATAAAAAAGTATCAGAGGTCCTCAGCAGGAAAAGAAAAACCATTTCCAGAGGATATAAGACCATTTACAGTACTAAAAAATTGTATGGATTATTTGTATTCCTTAATTTTTANGAATAATGGGTTATTTTTAGATCTTTATAAATTTATTGAGGATAGAAGCAGGGCTGTTAGATTAGACATGACATTTCAGTCATTAAATTCAAAAGAAAGTGTTTATGAGTTAGAAAAAATGATTAGGTTTTACATTTTGTCCAATAAATTGGTAAATGACCCACAATTTGAAATTCATTTAAATTCAGATCAAATCAAAAAAATGATTTTTTCTCTCTTAGAAATTTACTCATCTACNANTCATAACAAAAACTCAGAAGAATTTTTAAGTTACTTTGTTTTTATAAATTTGACAGACAAAAATGTTTATAATATTTTAAACACTTTTATTTACAAAGAAAAAGTGAAAAAAGCTTTGGAGGTTTACGAATATTTTAATCAAAATGATTTTTACAACTTTTTTAAGTGTTATTGTAAATTGGATATTCTTTCTAAGTTTATTTTATTACAAAATAAAAATTTAATGTGGAACAAAGTTATTAATTCTTTTAAAAATGCTTTAGTAGAACAAATTGAGTTTAACAAAATTTACAAATTGTTTTATTTACCAAAAGAAGAAGTATATTTTTACTTAAATAATAATTTTAACATACAAAGTGATTTGATAGATTTTAAAAGTAATTCAGAGCTAAAAAAAGAAATTTATTTTAAAGAGGTACCTTTAATTAATACTAATACTTTGAATACCTTCATTTATTGTGGTGATTTAGATTATAAAATGAGAAAATACATTATTTTAGAATTTATAAAAAATAAAATTAAAATAAATTTACAGCCTAAACCTCTTCCTATTACAAAAAGACACAAACAAGCAAAAAAATTCAGCAAATTAAAATTAAAAGAAATAATTAAAATAATTATCATTAAGCATAAAGTATCTGAAATAATAAAAAAATCAAAAAATTTTGACACAAAGTTACTTTTAGTTCATGACAGAGAATTAAATAATATGTTATTTATTAAAAAAATAAGCAGAGAAATGTTTTCTGATTACAAACCTAAAATAATTTTACTAGAAAATATGAATGAAGAATTAGGGTTACAATTTAATTTAACATTTTTTTCTGTTTCTAACAAGAATTGTAAAATAATAAAAGAAAAATATTTTATGTTAAGAAAATTAGTAAATAATTCAAATTTTTGGAACAAAAATATGAATAAAAAAGAAATAATTAATTTAACAAATGAACCTAAAATTAAAAAATACCAATTAAATGATTTATTAAAAAATAAAGACATAAATGAATCAACAGAAATTATTATTAAGCTTATAGAAAGTGGATTGAATTCTGATGTATTGAATGATGCATTAGAAGCAATGCATAAAGGAAAAGACATTGAAAATATTTCTGTTTATTTTTACGAAGGAAATTTTGATTAAATTTTTTATTAAATTTCCAATTTTTTGTAAGTTTGTATTTCCAAGTAAGATTCTTCGTACTTTTTAAAAAGTATTTGTATTGTCAATACAAATTCACAAACACAAAACATAACCCACTTATGTAAGAAGATACCCCTTTAAGATTATTAACCCAAGAATTATTACAAACAAATTCATTCTCATACACCAAAATTCTTCCATTAAATGGATTATCATCCATTAAATCAATAAAAATACTATCACTTTGTAAATCATTGACACTCTTCAAATGTAATTTACCATTCTTAATTTCATAAATTGTCTCTGAAGAAAAATCTTTTAGCAATGAAAAATTAGAAATTAAAAATTTAATTTCTGGCTCTTTATAAAAAAAAGAAAACATTTCGTATTTTATCAAATTTACATTTAATTTAATTGTAAATGGTTTTGTTTCAGCCAACAAATAAAGTTTATCATCACAGATGATTGTAATTTGGTATGAACTTAGAATAGAAATATTCTTTAAGAGTGTTAAAGTAGGAACGGTAAACTCTTTTCCTGGATGTATAAGTGTATAAGAATTCTTTTCAAATAAAAATATTTGGTCTGATGATTGGACAGTCAAACATTCTTTTAATGAAAANGTAAGTGTTGTTTTTGAAGAAAAGGTTGATAAAACAGAAATAAAAAATTTTGTGTNTTTNANTTTTAATTTCATATTAATTTATAAATTAATTTTTTTTAAAAAAAAATCTAAATAAATTATTTAATTAAAAATACAAATTAAATTTAAAAAAACTACCTGTTTTTTTATATTGAAACAAAGAAGGATCTTTACATTCAAATTTTAAAACATTAAACATTGACAAATCAAACAAATTAAAATCAGATTTACATTTTCTACAAATATGTTTTACATTCAAATTTACATTTTTACAAACATAATCACACAAAATACAAAAAGTAAATTCTTCACGCTTCTTTTTTACTCTAATTTTTCCATCTTTAAAGATTAAAGGTCTTTTTTTTCCATAAGCTTTTTCGTATAACCCACATGCGTTGCATAAATATTTGTCTTTGTTTATGTTTTTGCGCCAGGCAGGGGTATCTTTGGTACTGCAATGTGAACAAATTTTATGAAGGATTGTATCTGTTTTGAATCTGAAAAGATAATTTTTGATATCGTATTTAGAATTCTTTACGTTAAAATTGTTAGTTTTCATGGTGAGGGTTTACTTTCTTTCTTTTATGATTTGAGTTTTTGATCAATTTTGTATTTTTTCCTTCAAAATTTTAATTTTTTGTGATTAAATTTTAATTTCAAAAAATCAATCAGTAAAATTTAACTTTTTTTCTGTTAAATTTTATAAAACCATAATTTGAA